CGTGGTGGGAGTGCTTGTAATGAGCTAAGAAAGTTAAGGAGCTGTCAATGATGTTTCATACAGACCATGGACAAAGCTTGGAGTGGGCCACTGTCAGAGGAACTGATGATCTCATCATAGTCATTACTATTTAGACGACTGGGAGTTAGATCTGCTAACATCAACAGTTACCAAAGAGATTGTAAAACACCTGAAAGCACATTTTGATTACCATGGCATTTTTGAGTTGTGATAAGTGATAATGGTGTTCATGGTCCTCAATTCAGACACTTCACAATTGATTAGGAAATTTAGCATTACACTATTTCCAGTCAAATGGAAAGGATGATGCAATAGTGAAAATTGTCAAAAATCAATTATATCCAGCACAGATGTGTAGAAGGTAATTTTAGGGTGGAGAAATGCACCTGCTGAAGGCTTGAAAATTGCTTTAAACTCAGGGTTGCATTCCTGAAAATCACAACTTTTAAATCAAGAATTGACTGTCATTGTAATCAGTGTTAAAGTTGGAGTTAGGATCTGTGGGCCTTGATTAGCAGAAAATAAACATAATTGTACTCTTGAAACTGAAATACAATACCACCTGTACTTCCTACAATAGTAAATAAAGTAACAATTGCAATTTAAATATATACAACAGAATTATAACATTTTACTTACAGCACCTCCTGTAGTGAAGCCAGGAGGACATTACCCAGGGTTTGCACCAAGTGGCCTTTGTTCATTGGGCACATTATTGTCTGCTGGACCAGTCATTTGTTCCTAGCCATGTTGTGGCCACTGCCTGGTTATGTCTAATTAGGAGACTGTGAAGCTCCTATTTTCTGGCTGCCCATGCCTCAGGGGTCCACTCGGGCCACTGTTTAGTGGAGCTGTGCTTCTTATCTGACTGCAGAGCATTAATTTCCTCCCCACTTCTCCTGATTGGTGCATTGTTGGTCACAGCTGGCTCACTGTCATTTTCTCCCCTCTTAACGATTGTGACCAGGGTTGCTGCATTCCTGCAGTGATTAATGACCAGTGGGGAAGTGTGCAGGAGCTGCTGGTTTTTATAGGAGCTGCTGGTTTTTATCCGGGCTTGCGGGCAGAAGCTGGTGGCCTCTTTGGTCAGGATCTGAACAACTGAGTTCACCAGGTCTCCTGATTTGCTCCGCCACCTATGGGCCATTGTCTGCTGTTGCAACCCTAACATTTCTGCTGCCATCTTGTACAAAGAGGGGAGAGGAAGGTTAGGCAGCCGAGCTTCGAAGTGGCCATGCCCTGCAGGCCAGAGCAGGAGGGGATCTGTTGTCCAGTCATTGTAGCCAGCTCCTATAGGTCTGGGAGAAAGGTTTGAGATCAGAACTTGGCTGCAGCTGGTGGCCTGCAGGACTGGAGGGGAGATTTCATTGTGTCCATTTGAGCCCAGGGGCAATACTCTGGTGGATGGTCTGAGGCCTGGTGGGTGGGGGCTCCCTGGTGAAAACCTCAGGCAGTGGTGCAACAAGGGAGTGCCCTCATGAGGGAGAGACCATGCCAAAATGACACCCATTGGGTCAGGTATGCTCCTGTAGTAAACGGTTAAAATTAATTTCTGGTTGTCAACAGGATTTCTGGTCCTGATAACTAAAGGATGTTAAAGAAAAACAACGCTAAAAAGGACAATGTTAAGTGTGGACCCACTGTAATTGTGACTAACTATTCTCCCAACAACTAAAAAAACTATTGAAGCCAGAAGTAGTAACAGAAGTAGTAACAGTAGTCAAAGTGAAATGTCAAAAAGCCAAACTTCACTTTAATTGAGCTGCTAAATCGTTGGCTAGTGTTGAAAGTTGGAGAGCTGGTCAACGTCCAAACATTCAGTGCGCTTGACTTGGCCTGCTTGACAACTTGGGACTTGAGTGCACAAATTGTCAACTTGATGGAAAAGGATAGCCCTAATCTAAAAGTTAAAGTTGTAAATTGGAGGAAGGTCAATTTTGACAGTATTAGGCAAGAACTTTCAAAAGTTGATTGGAAGCGGATATTCGCAGGTAAAAGGACAGCTGGAAAGTGGGAAGCCTTCAAAAATTAGATAATGAAAGTGTAGAGACAATATATTCCTGCTAGGGTGAAGGGCAAGGCTGGTAAAGTGTAGGAAATGCTGGGTGACTAGAGAAATTGAGGTTCTGGTCAAGAAAAAGAAGGAAGCACTTGTAAGGTATAGACAGCGGGGATTGAGTGAATCCTTAAAAGTGTATAAGGGCAGTAGGAGTATACTTAAGAGGAAAATCAGGACGGCGAAATGGGGACATGGGATAGCTTTGGCAAATAGGGTAAAGGAGAATCCAAAGGGATTCTACAAATACATTAAGGACAAAAGAGTTATAAGGGAGAGAACAGAGCCCCTTCAAGATCAACAAGACTGCCTATATGTGGAACCGCAGGAGATGGGTGCATTATCAAATGTGTATTTTGCATCAGTGTTTACTATGGAGAAGGATATGGAAACTTGAGAACGTGGGGAAACAAACAGAGATATCTTGAAAGTGTCCATATTACAGGTGCTGGACATCTTAAAATGCATGAAGGTGGATAAATCCCTGGGACCTGATCAGATGTACCCCAGAACTTTGTGGGAGGCTGGGGAAGTGATTGCTGTGCCCCTTGCTGAGATATTTCTATCATCAATAGTCACAGGTGAGGTGTTGTCATACTGGAGGTTGGCAAACATGGTGCCATTATTTAAGAAAGATGGTAAGGAAAAGCCAGAGAACAATAGACATCAATGGTGGGCAAGTTGTTGGAGGGGATTCTGAGACACAAGATTTACATGTATTTCAAAAGGCAAGGACTAATTAGGGATAGTCACTTTGTGAGTGGGAAATCATGTCTCACTAACTTGATTAAGTTATTTGAAGAGGTAACAAAGAGACTGATGAATGCAAAGTGGTGGAAGGTGTCTATATAGACTTCAGTAAGGTGTTCAACAAAGTTCTGTATGGTAGAATGGTTAACAAGGTTAGATCACATGGAATCCAGGGAGAAGTAACCATTTGGATACAAAGTTGACTTGAAGGTAGGAGACAGAGGGTGATGGTGAAGGGTTGCCTTTCAGACTGAAGACCTGTGACTGGTGCTGGGTACATGTTTTCTTTCATTTAGATAAAAGATTTGGATGTGAATATAGGAGGTATGGTTAATAAGTTTGCAGATTACACCAAAATTGATGCTGTAGTGAACAGCGAAGAAGATTGCCTCAGTGTACAATGAGACCTTGATCAGTAGTGGCAGATGGAGTTAAATCTATTGACGTAAGGTGCTACAATTTGGTACGGCAAATCAGGACAGATCTCATATACCTAATGGTAAAGTCCTGGGGAGTGTTGCTGAACAAAGAGACCTTAGAGTACAAGTTCATAGTTCCTTGAAAGTGAAGTCGCAGTTAGACAGGGTATGAAGAAGGCATTTGGTACACCTGCTTTTACTAGACAGTGCATTCAGCATAGGAACTGGGAGGTCATGTTGTGAATATACAGGACATTGGTTAGGCCCTTTTGGAATACAGCATTCAATTCTGGTTTCCCTGCTACAGGAAAGATGTTTTTAAACCTGAAAGGGTTCAGACAAGATTTGCAAGGATGTTGCCAGGGTTGGAGGGTTTGAGCTGTAGGGAGAGGCTGAATAGGCTGGAGCTATGTTCCACTGAGCATCGGAGGCTGAGGAGTGACTTTATAGTGTTTATAGAATCATGAGGGGTATGGATAGGGTGAATAGTCAAGATCTTTTTCCCAGGGTCAGGGAGTCCAAAACTAGAGGGCATAGGTTTAAGGTGAGAGGGAAGAGATTTAAAGGGGACCTAAGGAGCATCTTTTTCATGCAAAGGGTGGTGTGTGTATGGAATGAACTGTCAGCGGAAGTGGTGGAGGCTGGTACAATTACAAGGCATCTGGATAGGTATACGAATAGGAAGGGTTTAGAGGGATATGGGCCAAATGCTGGCAAATGGGACTAGATTAATTTAAGATATCTGGTTGGTATGGATGAATTAGACCAAAGGGTCTGTTTCCATGTATATCTCTCTATGATGGTCCACTTTGAAACTTAACATCCTTCAGTCCCAGAGGTTAATCATTCTCCAATAAACATGACACATCAGCAGAAATTATCACTGCAGTAAAATTAGCATGTGATCAACTGATCAAAACTTGCATGTATACCGTTGGAAGACCTGGACGCTTTAAAGATTGTGTCCAATGCACATTTTGAGACAAGCAAAATTGGAACAGGGAGTTTTGTTTATTCCTTAGTAACAGACCAATGATATTACATGCATTTTTAAATTTCATTTAAAAGAAGATGATTGGATAAATATCTTCGTACACTGTGTGCACCAAGGTATTTCCTGATGTCATTGTATGTAAATAAATGTCTTGGCAATTGCCCCATTTTTATGCATTGCATAGAACTGTGTCTCTCTCTCTCCCCCTTTCTCCACAGCTGCGGCTAGACCAGTTGATTATTTCCAGAACTTTGTGGGGTTTTTTTCAGATTTCCAGCCTCTGTATCATATTGACTTAATCATAAACCCATGTGCGCTGATGGGAGAAGCGGCGAACTATCAAAGTAGCAACAACATATGTTTCTGACAAGCAGCTTAATGCCAGTGTCAGCCCTGAAGCCAGCTGTCTGTCCCATGCCATACATTCTCTGTGTCCATTACATTTCAGTTGTCTGAGGTAATGGATTCTTCAAAGCTACAACCACTTCCCAATATCACTTCACGAAGTGGGAGGCTAGGACTAAATACCATCAACTTAGAGGGGAAAAAACACACGCGTTAAATATTTGTGTGGAAGTAAAATGTTTGTTAGACCAATCACAAAGAGCATTACTCCTCACCACACCCGCTCCGTCTCAAAATGTATGAACGGTCAAAGTGCGAAACGAAAATATGGGAATTTAAAGTAGTGCGGCGGAGGAATCCTGGGGTGGGCGTGAATGGGGGAGGGGTGGAAGTGCGTGTGCTGGTTCGTGCGGACGGAGATATTGTTGTGCTGAGGAGGTTGGCGGCGCGGAGGGACAATTACCGGAATGGGGAGGTATGCGGCCGGTGGGTGATTATTCGTTGGAGCAGCTTCGAGAAGGGATTCTTCTGGGACATGTGAAGAAGGTAAATCTGGTCGTAGGTGGCTGGAGGATCCCGTCTATCTCCTCCCCCTCCCCCCGCCTTAGAATATGTTGACAGTGTCGTCAGTGCATTCGGTTCGCTTGTTATCTTGAGCGAAGATTAACGGTGAACGGAGATTTCCCTCTTATCCTCCCCTTGGGAGGGAGGCGATGGAGTATGAGGGTGTTACATTTTGTTGCTTTAATTGTGTGGTTTAGATAGGAAGGGAGAGGTTTCCTCTGTGTGACACTTGGGCGTAGGTTTCCTGATCGCTCTCTTATTTACAAAACTCGCCAGGAATGCTGTTGTTCAGCCATCACATTGTCCACGAGATTGGCAGTGTTTGCACTGAGATATGTGGTGTCAGTCAACTGAAACACTGTTTAAATGTCTGCACCTGTTAATGCCTCCAACTTTACTTTTGTCTGCAGTATTACGTAGGAAAGTGTAGTTATTTAGATCTTGCTGCTTCTTTGAGCAGATGTTTTAACAGGTACTTTGAAAAAAACTTTGGTCGTTTCAGAATTAGCACGATTCATTGTTGCAATGTTCACAGTGTTCATTTTAATTTGCCCTAATACAGTTTTGAGCCAGGGTGGACTAGACGTGCGTTTCCTAGTGTATTTCGTCTTGGCATGAAATGAAATGTTGTGCATTTTTTTGTTCAAACGGAAGTAAAGCCCTTCTAGATTGGTTAGAAATTGACAACTCAAAAAGTGCTTACTAAGCACGATTTCAATCCGGTTGTTGTGCTTTAACATGGTAAAGTCATATGGAATGGTACAGGAGATCATTCAACACATTGAGGCCATGACACACTGTAAATAGATCCGTTCCGTGTCTTTTCCTATAGCCCCCAAGCGTCCATCCAATTTTCTTCTAAGTCTTTGCAGTGCTATTTTTGTCTTGGGTAAGTCTTTTTTTTCAATGTTGGCCGCTTTTCTTGTTCATTTCCAAACTTTTTAAGTTTGTTGGCATAATTTGTGTATAGACTAGGACCCTACTATAAATATCTTTGCCAACCCCATTACCCTCTGAAATATCAGACCTCCTCTAATTCTGGGTTCATGTGCATTTCCAGTAATGATTGCTCCACAGTTGGTGACCTTGCCTTTCTTTGTCTAGATCCTAAGCTCTAGAATCCCCCTCCCTGCATCGTTCTAACTTTGCAACCTAATTTTCCTCCTTTTAAGGCTTTAAGTTTGGTCATAAGGAAGTTTTGTGGTCATTTTACTTAGTGTTTCCTTATGTGGCAGTTTCATACTTTGGTTTTTTTTAAAATGCTCCTGTGAAACATGTCCATTTTGTTAAAGGCATTATATAATAAATGTTACTGTTCTAACACAGTTTACTATAACAAAAACTTGACTTTTATTTTGTGAATGCAGTGACTCTCTCTCAAATGGAAAATAGAGATAGTAGGAACTGCAGATGCTGGAGAATCTGAGATAACAAGGAGTAGAGCTGGATGAACACAGCAGGCCAAGCAGCATCAGAGGAGCAGGAAAGCTGACGTTTCGGGCCTAGACCCTCCTTCAGAAACAGAAAATTATTTATTTGTTTGATTTTACATAGCACTTACTTTATTCACTTCTTCTGGAGTACCTTGCCTTGAAACTATCAGGATATGACTGCAGTACTGCATCAAGCTTGTATGTTAGACACTGCGAAAGATTCAACTGTGAAATGACGCAGTCTCACGACGTGGTTCACATTGTTTAAATTATAATTGGTGAACCATATTAAAGCTAGGTCCCAGTGTACTCTTGATCCATGCTGAAAGTCAGCAGGAAAACTGAAGGTGTTTTGAGAGTTTAATTGAAGAGGTTTTGTTTTATGGAACTTAATGTTGTTAAGTTTAGAAAGTTCAATAAAACTTTTATGCTAACAGCAAGTGATTGTATTTACAGCATAACTTTCCTGAAAGGATAATATGCAGTCATTGATACATACAATTACTGTTTTTAAAAAAACCTAAACATCAGATTTTAATTTAACAATGTATGGATGAGGAAATCTTTTTGGTTCAACTCACTCAATTGACCCCATTGTGAAAGACCCTAAAGTTGAAACATTTCAGCATCTAGATGTTCCAGATTCATGTATATCTTCTAATCCGATTCATTTGACAGTATTTGAGCTGCATCCTCATTCCACTGCATTTACTTGCAGGCTTCAGGCCATTTATAAAGTTTGTCTTAGACTGAGCTTTAACAGAGTTATTTTAAGTTGTGAAGCCAGAGCATGTTGAGTCTACATCTTAAATACTATCTGTTTAGGTTTCCCTCAAATAATTTTGGAAAGGTTAAATGTAACTATATATCAAGAAGTGTCTGCTCTCAGTTGGATGTGTTTGTGTTGTTGTTGTCTATGTGTGAGAGGGGAGAAAGGTAATAACCTGGTTATATCTCTTGCAAGTTCTGTAAATTTTAGTAACTGTGTCTTAAGCAAGCAATTTAGTATTAATGTTCAGTTTTCAGAAAATAAACACATTGTTGAAATCATTTGCTTGTTTTCATAATTCAGCTTGTTTTGTTGATGGCTATAAAAAAGCAATGCTAATTATTTGCGTATGGAAATTGTGGCATGTCATAGAGTCATAGAAACATATGAGGATATGAATTAAGAGCAGAAGTAAGCCATTCGGTGCCTCAAGCCTGCTGCATCATTCCTTTCCTCATAAGGCAACCTGTCCAATCAGGTGTCATTCTAGTAAACCTCCTCTGAACTTCCTTTTATACACTTACTTTCATCCTTGTATAATTTTAGTCCTTTACACAGTGTTCAAGTTGTGGTCTCATCAGTGCCCTGTCGAACTGGTCATTGACAGTTTTTTGTAGTTAGAACATCAGTCAGGCAAGGGAAAACTTCAAGACCTGCACCTTGTAATAACAGTGAGGTAACAATGTGGTGTGTCCTCATCATTTGTTACTTTTGGAGTTTCTGAAAGATGCTATAAATGTGGAATCTTTTTCCTTTTCAGTTGTTCAGGGGATTTGAATTTTGGAGGGACGAGGAAGGCAAGGTGTGGTTGGGAGAAACTGATCATGGTAAAATAATGAGCTTGTGAAACGAAGGAATTCTTTTGTTTTGGATGAAACTATCAAGGGCTTAAAGAATTTGATTGTGCTTTAATATTGAAACGATTAGTGCATGGTAATAATAAAATGCGCAGGATTACATTAACCGCATGATAATGAGTGTTAGTGTTGCATGAGTCATTGCATCAGTATTGTACAAGTTTGTGGTATTGTTTCAGATGGTAAAATCTTTTGGATAAAATGGAACACTGCCACTAAACTAATTAAGTAGCACATCACAGGTTTAGGAATAATGACTTCATGACAAAATGGAGATTTGGAGACAATTGCATCATGGCCCTTCTAGGGACAATTTAGCTAGTCCACACAAATGTTTCATCCTCGTCAAAGCCTCAAAATGAAAAAAATGTAACAACAATGAATAGACACATTCTATAAGTGTGAGGCTAGAAAAGCACAGTAGGCCAGACAACATCAGAGGATGAATAGACACATCTCTTACTTAAAGCAATAGACATGTAAAATAGGTTTGTGGGTAAGCTCCACTGAAAGAAGTAATATAAATAGCTTTAAGAAGGAATTAAGCTGACTTCAGACTACATTCTTTGGAAGCTTAAACCATTGCAAAACCGCACAAGTTGTAGGTGGGTCTTAGAGCTCATAGCTTCTGGGTGTTTAAAGATATTTGGAGATTTACTTCCCTATTTACGTTGTTGCATGAAATCAAACTTCACTAGGTTAGATTCATAATTTAACTGGGTTTTAAAAAAATTCAGTTTGAAATTAAGTTCTTAAATGTATTAAAAGAATTCTTTGCATTTTAAAAGTTTGAAAGTAATTCATTCTGAAAGCTGTGCTTCGAGAATGACCATTGCAAATTAAAAGTAGAAACATAATTTCTATTGTGATGAAGCTTGATAGATATTTATTTGAAACATAATTTTAACTACACTTTAGAAATTGACTTTTAATTTTCAATTCTGTGAACCTGTCACATTTGTTTATTTTTAAAGAAAAGTCATTTTGAGTTCAAAATTGTATTTGCAAGAAGTCATGTAAATTTCACTAAATGGCAAGTAGGCCACCTGGGGAGATAATTGCTAAGGTTTATCTGACGTGAATCTGTGACTAACAGACAGAGAGAGGCCAGAAGCAGGCTCACACAAATGAGGTCCATAACAAGAGATGTCATGTTACTACCAATCTTCAAGCCTTTAAACGTCGGTAAATCTGAGAAGTGTAGAAGGCATTTGGAAGATAGCTGCAGAGGTTGAAGGCTTTTGGAGGTGTCCAGAGAGGAAAAGATCATATAGGTTTGTTTAAAAACATGAGTTGAGGGAACTCACATTATGTAATTAATTTCTTGAGTGTTTTGGGTGTGAGGTTGACTTCCTTAAAAAGTAAGAATCGTGAAAATGCACAAATTTACCTAAAGGAAGCTGAATACTAAATCTGAATATTTACTCCTCTATTGTGGGATTTACATTTATGTTGGAAATATTAGTCTGTGTTTGTTAATTACTAGTACAGCAATCTTACCAATATGTTACTGATCTGCAGTAGCCAGTTGTTTGCATGAGTGTTTTTGAATTGCAAGCAGTTTAATCCACTGGCTCCATTTGATTCAACCTGACACTTTTTTTTTCCTGCTGTCCCTGGAAGGCAGGTTATTGTAATGTAGAGTGATTGGGAATGGCCGCAGGAGACGTAGTATGTTTGGAATGAGGAGGAGTGGAGACCGAGTATTAAGGTGATTAAATGAGAGGAAGCGTTCTCGGCCTGTGGTTGAGAGGGGAGCATGATGGGAGAAAGGGAGATCGATTAAAGCAGGTTAGCGGGATGATGGAAGAAAAGATTGGTGAAGGGTAGGGGACTAAGTCGTCTTATTGGAGTTAGGAATACACAATGATATTTGCATCAGGCAATTGACTACCAGGCTTCAAAATTATTCTATCAACCTCTGCTGACAAAGGACTTCCTTTGTATTCAAGAATAAGATATCCTGTTAACTTCAGTATGATTGTTCTAAAACTGTTAGGTTTTTTGGATGTCGACAAAGTAACTGCTGCATGGCAACCATAGTTTGCATTTGTGTTGGTCGTGTTCACCAGTATAAATTCTGGGTTCCTGGAACGTCTGGCATGGCTTCATATTCTCAGGCCTGTGGTGGCTAGAGGCTACTTGCTGAGGTAACCTAAATGGTTAGCAGTGACTGAATTGTATATGCCTTTGTATGTACATTGTTCCATTATTCAAAATGTCAAAACATCCAAATATAGTACAAGAAGAAGGTCTGATTTTTAAAAAAATTTTCTTTCGACTCATTAGTCATTTTCTAAGTTTTTGGAGCAGAGAAGACACCCTGTCATAGGTAAGTTATGAACCTGGCATAATCAAAGGACTATACTGCCTCCTTAGCAGATGGATTTAACGAGCTGGCAGAAAATTCAAGCCTCATCTGATATGACCTTCCTCTTTTCAAGTTTAATATTTTTTCCAAAAAAAAAGACTGTAAAACTCCATAAGCAGAACCCCTCCATTCACCTCTTGACTACCTGACAAATAATCATTTTGCAGTGCAAGCGTTGTGCACTCATCTGAACAATTTGCAAAATATACCAGTTTTGTTGAGTTGAAGCAACTATAGTGGATGTACGTCTTTTTGTCTACAAAGAAGAGGGCCTTGTGAATTAATATATGTAACTTCTGGTTGTGTAGGTATGCCACACTGTGAGCCCGACTGATAATCCTAAATTGTTTGTCAGTGCAATTCTTTGCACATTTCCGATTTAGTTAATAAGTGTAATCCAATTCAGTTGGTTATTGCCATTACCTTACTTGTAATGAACAGCCAAAATAAAACCCAAAAATGCAATGTGATACAATCGCCAGTTCTTTGGGACATGCAGCCTACGCACTCGCCGTCACATCAGCACTGAAGTTCATAATCCATGATTTTACTAATATTACTAATGATAGGCTCAACCTCTTATTGACAGTACCTAACTAACCCAGACTTGCAAGACACTCAACACAATGTCCAACATTAGATGTGCTACCATGATTGAACAACATGTGCTTAAAAATTCGATGTGTGAACGACTGCTGAACAATTTTGGGATTTTCATTCAGACTTGCTGTGTGGCGCGCTTGCATCTGCTTGAACCATATTGCCTCATTGCTAACATTAACATAGGCTCCATTCTTTGTACACAGAAAGGACATGTGTACATGGTCCCTGGTTTAACTCAGCAAAGTAGGTGACAGCCATTCCTGGTTCATTGCTCAGTGCATTACTTGTTGCCTTGACCAATCTGAGTCAACCTGATGGATTTTGTTAAGGTTTAAACAAAACCGAACAGTTAAGTGATGCATTCTCTATTTAATAACAAATCAGCGCCTTCCCTCGTGTGAACGTGCTGTTTTCCCTTAACTTGGTGTTTTTGGCAAGTTGTTCTGAGAGTGCAAGATGAAAAGCTTCAGCAAAATGTATTTTCTTAACAACACCTTACAAATCTTTAGAAACACTGTTTGTACCCTGTTTGCTTCCTACTTGGTCCAAAAATACTTCCCTTCCTGGGTAAATGAATGCTGAAGGGTCTAGGTCTGAAAGATGCTCATTTGGGACTTAATCCTCCATTATGGATTTTAGCATTACTGCCTAGAATGTCTGAGAGAATGTGATAGACCTCCTGCAACTTGCAGAGTGCAGCCTACTTGCTAAGAATCAAATTCTTTCTTGTTAGACCAACGAATAGTAATTGTCACTACTCAACATACCATGACAAATGGGGTTGTGCCAGTGAGATGAAACATCTGTGTAACATATTTTTCAGCAAAATCTTGCACTACATGCCAAAATGGTGAAAAGCTGTTTATGAATGCTCTGTGTATATTATGCTAATTTATGTTATTAGTTATTTGTGAATATTTGCAAAGTTTTACCCGAGTGTGTGCGCCTGCCACTAGGCAAATCGTTTTACACTATTGGTGTCTTCTGCTTACAGGTGATGATTCTGAATGTAAATGATAATAAATGATCAGCTGTATAGCAAGAAGTCAAATAGAGTGGATGGTGCCATGTTTTGTCTTTATTAAAACGTACTCAGATTTTAAAAAATGCAAAGTGCCAAGGGCAAATATTATTGTAATGCTAGAGTGGATTTTCAAACTAGCTTACGTTACCATTTTGACTGGCTGACTTGATATAGTCTGCGATAAATCATTTAAGGAAGACTAAAACGAAATATCATGAAGAAAACTGAATTTAACTTAACGTTGAGACTCTGATCCAGTTTTATTTGGTACATTTTGTCTTTTCAGGTTTTTTTCTTGAAGCCATCAATTCTTACAGATTTTTAAAGTTCCTAATACTAATTGGCTCTGTTCCCTGTATAGTTTTGCTACATTTAACATGCAGTCATAAATGCGGGCTTTGACTTCTAAGACTCCTAAGTTCTCAAGACCTGGATCCTTGCTGTGTCTGTATGAAGCTATGATCATGAAAAATGAGTAATGAGCACAGATCTTTGCCATGAGTTACTTTTTGACAAGAAAGTAAGTTGTGTGTTTTCATTCTCACCAGGTATGGAAAGCTTCTAAAGGGAAGCTTTGTCTTGTCAAAAGAAGCCTATATAATTTTAAGTTGAAATAGTCTTTCTTGTCCAAAAAATACTCACTTGTCACTTCTTGTTTTACAGAGCAATGCTTCCCAGTTGGATAGATCTACCATTAGCTGCTGGATGATTTCTGCATGCAGCACACAGTGAGAGAAATACAAGAAATTTAAACTAACTTTATTTTGCCATGCCATTACCTTTTGGGATAAAATTGAAAAGGACACGCAGATATACTGTCTCCAGTAAGAGCTGTTTGGTTGTACGAATCCAATTGCTGGATAATGGATTTCTGGAATTCACACTTTCTGTTGAAAGCACTGGCCAAGAATGTTTGGAAGCTGTTGCACAAAGATTAGAGCTGAGAGAGGTGAGGAATGAGCAAAAAGAGTGTCACATTTTAATTTATCTTCATTTTTATTCTTTAACAAAAATTTTTTAATCGTGAATATTGTAATCTTGATCAGCAGTGCTGAAGTTTGTGTAATGGGTAGCAATTTACTTAAGGTTTTTAAACAACACTTTGTTTATGGGCCCTTCATTATCTTGGCCAGTGTTTAGTATTATTATATACATTCCTAATTACCCTTGTGAAGGTGGTATTGAGCACCCTTCTTGAACTACGTCAGTCCTTGGGGTGTAGGTACCCCCAGAATATTATTAGGAATGTAGTCTCGGCTACAATGAAGGAACAGTAGTATTACAAATCAGAATAGTGTGTGTTTTGGCAGAGAACTAGTGGCTGATGATGCATGGAAGTACATAGATGTTAGAGGTCATGGGTGTGGAAGGAAGTTGCTATTGAAGTAACTTAAGGTGCTGCATTCCATCTTGTATAAAGTATAAGCCATTGCCACTATGCATTGATAGGAGAGGGAGTGAATGTTGAAGGTAATTAATGGGTACTAGTGAAGAAGGCTGTTTTGTCCTATATGCTATCAAGCTTTTTGTCATAATGAGCTGCATCTATCCAGGCAATTAGAGAATATTCAATCACACTTCTGATTTACACTTTGTAAATGGTGAACAGGATTTGGGGTGACAGAAATTGAATTACTTGCACAGAATTCTAGTCTCTAACCTGCGTTATATCTAGAGGATTTATATGGTTGGCCCAACTTAATTTCTGGTCAGTGGGCACCCCCTGCCCGTTGATACTGGGAGATTGAATCATTGAAAATCAAGCGGAAAAGGTTTGTTTGGGATGGTTGAAATCTTTGGACTCAGGGTTACCAACCGTTAGCAACTTGTGATCCATCAATCCTTCTTTCTCCTATTTAAAATAAACAAACGTCCCTCAGAGGTAATGTTACAGAGTCCAAAATGCAAATGAAACTTTGAAACTTAATTTGTCATTGGGAGGGGAGGGGTGGTCATGGTGCATGTCAGGCCCCAGGTGCCCAGCCTTCATGGAAGGCCTGAAGTATACTAGTGACAGTATATACTCCCTCTCGGAGGACACCTGGGTGTGGGTGTAACCAAGGAAGAGAGGCAGACGACTGCTGCCTGACCTTGTTAATAGCCACCTTGGCTGGGCCAAGGAGCAGACCCATAAGAAGGTCCTCCGATTTGCCTGTCTCTATCTGCACCATTTGCCTAAAGTTCAGGAGCATGGGCTGAAATATCAGAAAATGTTTCACACTCCTCTTAATAAAAGAGGGCCTTCAGTCTGTAACAGTCAATTTAAAGGTGTCAATGCACTCATTCGTCAAGTGTACAAAAATTACTGGCAGCCTGGGAATATGTGAAACTACTTGACCTAACATTGCATAGGACCACTGCATGCGACATAGAATCATAGAGATGTACAGCATGGAAACAGACCCTTTGGTCCAACTCATCCATGCTGACCAGATATCCTAAATTAATCTAGTTCCATTAACCAGCATTTGGCCCCTATCCCTCTAAACCCTTCCTATTCACATACCCATCCAGATGCCTTTTAAATGTTGTAATTGTGCCAGCTTATTCCATATAAGCACCACCCTCTGCATGAAAAAGTTGCCCTTAGGTTCCTTTTTAAACATTCACTCTCATCTTAAACCACTGCCTTCTAGTTTTGGACTCCCCTATCCTGGAAAAAAAAGACCTTGGCTATTCATTCTATTCATGCCCCTGATTTTATAAACCTCTATATGGTCACCCCTTAACCTCCACTTCTGGTAAAATAACACCAGCCTATTCAGCCTCCCCCTATAGCTCAAACCCTCCAACCCTGGCAACATCCTTGTAAAACTTTTCTGCACCGTTTCAAGTTTAACAACATCTTTCCTATAGCAGGGAGACCAGAATGAACGCAGTATTCCAAAAGTGGCCTAACCAGTCTTGTACAGCCGCAACATGACTGTAGACATCCTTTACTCAATGCACTGACAAGTAAAGGCAAGTGTACCAAATGCCACCTCCAACACACTGTATAGCTACGACTCCACCTTCAAAGAACTGTGAACCTGCACCCTAAGTTCTCTTTATTCGGCAACACTGCCCACTACCTTACCATTAAGTGTATAAGTCCTGCCCTGGTTTACCTTACCAAAATGCAAAGCCTCGCATTTACCTTAGTTAAACTTCATCTGCCACTACTCTGCCCATTGACCCATCCAATCAAATTCCTGTCATACTCTGAGATAACCTTCTTCACTGTCCATTACACGACCAATTTTAGTGTCATCTGCAAACTTGCTAACCGTCCTGACTATATTCAAATCCAGATCATTTATGTAAATGACAAAAAAACCATGGACCCAGCACCCAACATGTTTCATCCCAGATCCCTGATCCCTAATAGATGGAGAGGGAGTCCTGCAAGAGAGAACCCAACACTGAGGGTCCTCCACCACTGCCAGAAGGAATATCGGTGTGCCAAGATGCCAAACAAAATTTAAGGAAATGAAGGGTGCACAGCAGCAGCCCACGCAAGAAATCCCTCCATACTGACTGAAAGGACAAGAAGGGAATTTGCTCATGTTGGCCTAAGTTGTAGAGCATAAGTCTCTCAGCGCTTTGAGTGTGGGGCTAATGTGAAATTGTCCAAATGGGTCAATTCATATGGACGTCTACTGCACAGTTGACCCTGCTTGAAACCATGAGTGCACTTGGGACTAAGTGCAATTGTTTTAAGACTCTGGCTTTGGCTGTGTGCTGGACATCAACGGGCGTCTGACTGGTAACTTTCTGTGGCGCCATACAGATTATGCCAGAGTTTGGTTACTTCAGCGGCCATCTAAAGCTGTGTTGGTGAAGGTCTGAATTCCTGAGCAATGGCCCCTTAATGACAGCCTCTACTCCTGACGGGGCTGAGCCCAGGTGTTAGGCACCATATCCCAAGCCATGATGAGGTTCTCTTCAAAGATGGGTAACCCTGTAAAGAGTTAGGAAAATCTGTTTGACCTTTGAACAAGAGCTGCATGTCATAATTGAGGCCACACATTTGGTGGAAGAAATGTTGCCAGAGCGCACCATCTAGCAGGGCGTTCAGCATAAAGATGTCAATGCATGTCCTGAAGACAGAACATTGCAGCTTGCATATAAAGGCAGAGCAATGCTAGATACCCAGGTAGAGCAGATAATTTGTGCTCAAGGTGAAGGGCCTGAGTTTCTCTAGCAGGGATTGTATCCATCACTGACACTGACTAAGAATCTGGAGCATGTTTCCTGGTATATCTATGTATAGGAAGTAGCAGAGTACATGCGTTGGAAATCTCGCATCATCCGGTCAGCTGGATCTGAAAATATCAGGAACATGTCATCAGTGCAAGCTGCAAGGAATATCCAAGTTCAGCCTGCACAGTGCAAAACCTGACAACCCCCTCTGCAAGAGACAAAAGAATGACTCCGTACAAGTTGAATGTACGTGGCCAGACAAGAGACACCTTTAAAACACTCCTGAAGCCAAGGGTCGTCTTCAAAGACCAGTTAACCTAAGTTAGACACTGCGTGGTGTGATACAGATGTCAGGGCTGAGCAACATAACGTTTCCCAAACCCTAATTCTCAGAATCTCGAATAAACAACCATAATCCATCGTCTTGCATGCCTTCTCCTGGTCAAGTAACAAGAAGGCGATGGACAGATCGTTCCTACGGTAAAGATGGAGCAAGTTCTGGACCACATAGAAGTTATATATGGTCTGACCTGGGATAGTGTAGGATTGATCAGGGTGGGACCTGTTATCTAGCATAGTGCCAAGGTAGGAAGACATTGACCTAGCAAAAATTCTGCATTCTGTCCTGAGTGGGGAGACTGTGATGCCAGTTTTCAAGGTGCTGGTCACCCTTCTTTGGCAGTAGGGTTGTAACAACCCTGTGCTCCCTGCCCCCCCCAGGACTGGCACTTTAGTTCTTCTCCATTAAGTCCCAGAATACATTGTGTAACTCCTTGGTCAACTTGTCCATTCTTGGGGATTTGCCTGTGGAGGACACCAATGAGCTCCTCTAGAGTAGCTAATGCACCTAGATGTTTGGTGCTTCCTGAGTCAACCTGCGTCAGGTTTTCCTGTGCCAGTATCCTTATTGGATGTGAAGAGAACAGGGTGTTGTAATCGGTTCAGATTTGAGCTTTGGTGTTCTCAGGATTTGAGTGATCTTTTGCTGGCCAGCTGCATAAGGAACTGCTCATGGAACCCATGCCATTTTTCTAGCCAGCAGAAGAAGAGGGATATGTGGCTTAGGTGCTGCAGCAACTGGACTTACAAACTCATTCTTTTACCTTGGGACCCAGCAAACCGCCGGTCCTTTACCATACCCTCCTCTTTTTGCCTCCTACAGGGTCTGATCCTTGGCAACCTGACTAAGATCTGACTCCAGGTCGAGTACCTGCTCCAAGCTTTTTGATCCTGGCTATCTCATTGTTGACCCCTTTTACGTATTGCTGCCACAAAGATATGAATGTATTTTGTTTTTTTTTTAATTCTTGATTAAATTGAGAGCTGTTCGAGACCAATGCTTGAAAAGGATGGCTGCAAGTTTTGAAAAAGTCAGTTTTGACACGCATGACAAGCATTGTAAACCTCTTTGGGAGAGGCAGTGGCCGGGTGATATTATCTCTGGTGTTAATCAGGAGAACCAGGTTCGAATTCCACCATCTGCTTTGGCGGGATTTGAATTCAATAAAAATCTGGAATTAAATGTCTAATGATGACTATGATTGTCAGGAAAAGTCCATCTGGCTCAGTAATGTCCTTTAGGGTAAAAAAAAAACTGCTGTTCTTACATGTGACTCCAGGCACACAGCAATATGTTTGACTCTTAACTGCCCTCTGGGCAATTGGGAATGGGCAATAAATGCTGTCCTGGCCAGCATTGCCCACATCCTGTGAATGAATTATTGCTTGTTCTTCTTTAATTATTGGGATTTGAGTTATAGATGATTTGGAGCCAAGGGGGATGTACTGATACAACTTTCGCTGGCAACCAGAAATTAATAGGCACCTGGTGATTGATTAGTTCATAGACTAATCAATGACTGTAATTTGTTTTTGCGTAACTGAACAGCTTGGAACCGGGAACAAGTTAGAGAGTGAGAGAGAGCGAGGGCCGGGGTGGGGAAAAGTATTCAGTTCTTCTCCAGCTGAGGAACAGTTACTCTGCTTTCATCCTGAAGAAAATAAGTTTTTACATTTCCTGCAGCAGTTATTGTAAGCTGTAACTTTTCAGTAAGAGACTTTTTGTAATGGACCAGCTTCCTTGTGTCTCTTACCAAACAGTGGAAGCATCTGGAGAAAAATGTTCGCTGCCCAGCATATTGCTTCAGAAAAGTCATAAGGATTACTTAAACACCTGTACCCAGGAACAAAGGCTACTTTCCAGCTTTGCCCCTCTGTTCAATAACCTGGTTCTCTGTTAGTTTTATCTGCCTGTTTGTGTAAGGGGGCAGGGGGTTAAAAGGGGATTAGAGTTTTTTTAATTAATAGTGTTATGCTGATGGTTTTCCTGTAGCTAAAGTTACTTGTAATGAATAGCAGTTATTGTTCAGAACAGAAACCTGGTCCATGCTTTATATCAAGTTGGGTCTGAAAGTCAGGTAAATTGGGTGAATTTTAAAATAAAAACAACTAACTTTTTGAGATGGCTCAGGGAATGCTGGGTCTTGATTCCAGCGTGCTGCCCCACAGTGAGTAGTGACAAACCCAAAGTATTCTTTATATAGCCGGTCAAGTTCAGTTTCTGGTGAGTAGTAATCCCTGCCAGAATGTTAATAGTGGGTGATTCAGCAATTGTAATGTTTTGACTATATGGGGAGATGGTTTTTGCCTTGAAATTGAGTGACATGATGTTATTTACCACTTAGCAGCCTAAGCCTGGATTTGTCCAGGTCTTGCTGCATTTGGCTGCAGACTATTTCCGTATCTGAGGAGCCAAGCACTGTATAATCATCAGCAAGCATCTCCATTGCTGACCTTACGATGGAAGGAAGATCTTTGAAGCAGTCGAAATGGATAGACCAAGGCCACGATCCCGAGGAACTGTCAGCATGTGAAAACCCTTGGCCCTGAGAGTGTTATACTCTTAGACATATTGAATTATATCTGCTGTCTGGAACAATTTATTCTGGTTAAGATCTTTTTTCAAGGTGAAAATAAATAATGTTTCCACTTGGCATAGTATCAGCATAATTAAGACAGGAGAGGAATAGAGAGTTCACATTTTTAATGTCTTGTGGGTTAGGATTTATTGAGTGATTTTTTTTTTTTTTTTTTCCCCCTCTCTTTTACAGGTCACTTACTTCAGTCTGTGGTTCTATAATAAGCAGAACCAATCTCGATGGTTGGATCTGGAAAAGCCCATGAAAAAGCAGCTAGATAAATATGCCATTGAACCTACAGTTTATTTTGGTGTGGTATTCTATGTACCAAGTATTTCACAACTTCAGCAGGAGATTACAAGGTATGGAATGTCAGAACTCATTTGTAGATGATGTTAGAAGAAAATATCTCAATATAGTCTTCAAGATAGCACTTGAGCAATTAGTCATGACCCCTATCCTTGATTTAGTAGGATATTCAATATGGTGCATAATTTTTCTACAAGCGCAAGATTGAAAATTAGATAGTTTCTTTGAATATAGCTTATTAAGCATTGATATTAACGTAAATATCAAAAATCCTGTCCTGAAGTTCAAGCTAACAAAATGTCTAGTTAGTTTACATGAAATTAAATAAAATAAATTTTCACAAACTTTTAAGTTATGCTTAGACATTCAGCCCATTTCCTAATGTTATTAGCATCACACGAGTTTGTAGTGCATACCCTATGTTAAATTTACACATCTAAGTTGACTGATCTTAGCTGGTGCTGTGAATGGGGGTCAGTGTATGGTCCAGAATACTCTTGGTGAAGGGGGGAAAAAATGGTTGGCTAACAGTTGTATCATTCTTTGTATAATAACTACATGCATAGTTGGGGAAGAAATTTGTTTATATGGTTAACTGCTTCAAGCATTGCAACTTGTTTCTACAGATTCCAGTATTATCTACAACTGAGGAAAGATATTTTGGAAGGTCGCATACCTTGCTCACTAGACCAAGGAATTCAGCTTGCTGGTTTAGCTGCACAGGGTAAGGAATGATATACTATTGATTCCAAAGCCTACGTGATGCATCATTTTAATACAGTCTTTTAGAACAGTCATGAAAGCTACATGTCTGTTCTGGTTTTCCAATTGATCTTGTCTTCCTTGCTTGCAGTCAATGGACTGACAGGATGGGAATTGCAGAGGTTCTGGCCATAATCTTCCAGTTCTCCTTTGATATGGGGGTTGTGCTAGAGGACTGAGAAATTACAAAGGTTTCACCTTTAATCAGAAATATATCTAAGAAATATATCTAAGAATTAGCCTAGAAACTATAGGCAAGTAATTTTACCATGTATGACAGGAAAGCTTTTTTAAAAACAATAAGCGAAGGCAAAATTAATAGTTTGAGAAGTGTGAGTTAATAAAGGAATGCAGCACAAAGATTTGTTAAAGGCAGTTTGTCCTTAACTATCTTATTTGAGGCTTCTATAATATAACACAAAAGGGTGGATGTTAATAGTACAGTTGATGTGCTGTACATGGACTTCCAAAAGGTGAACATAATAAGTCTGTTAGCATTATTGAAGTCCATGGAATAAAATATAGAGCTGACATCAATATGAAGCTGGCTGGAAGGCAGCAAGCAGAAACAGTTTTTCAGACTGAAGGAGCGATTCTCCAGGGTTCAGCATCAGTGTCACTGGTTTTCTTGACCCATATTAATAATCTGGGTTCGGGTATTCATTCATGTATGTCCGCTGTGCTAGAAGTCAGATCTTTGACTCATAGTCTCCTGATGCTTCGCCCTGTGCCTTTTTTTTCTTAGCTGTTTTGTTATTGACCATCGTTTACCATCGCCATTCACTCTCAGACAGGGCAAGAATGTCCCAAGTCTTGCTGAACAGGAATGGGAATCAAACACACATCATTCAGGTTTTTGCTGAACCACACACTAAACTGAGCAATGTGGTCAAATTTGGGTGTTCAAGGCACAATTTCAGAATTTACGGATGACTCAAAACTTGGAGATATTTTGACTAGTGAGGAACTTTGAGCACATAAGTAGGCTGTGGAATGGACAGATGTCACGGGTATAATTTAATGCCGAGAAGTGTGAAGTGATACAATATTTTCATTCATCATGGAATGATGCTTTGTCCTAGATAGTCTTGAGCTTGCTTGTGTGTTGTTGAAGCTGCACTCATCCAGGCAGTTGGAGAAAATTCCGGTATACTCTTGACTTGTGCCTCATAGATAGTGGACAGTCACTGGGGAAGACAGAGTGGTGAATTACTTGATGCAGAATTCCAAGCAAGTGCGCTGTGTGAACAGCAGTATTTACATGTTTGACCCAGCCCAGTGGTCAGTGGTATCTCCCAACATGTTGATAGTGTGTGACTCGATCATGGTAACAATGATTAACTCTCTCTTGCTAAAAATAATCATTGCCTGGTGCTTTAATGGCTTGGAGGTCACTTGCTACATATCGGTTTGCTACAGACCGTTTCAGTATCTGAGGAGTGGTGAAAGGTATTAAACATTGTACCTCTTCAAATGCCCCACTTCTGACCTTTTTTTATAATGGAAAGAAGATCATTGACGAAACAAGAGATGGTTTGACTTCAAACAACCCTAACTACAACCATCTTCCTCTGTGCTTGATATGGTTTGAACCAGTGGAGAACTTTCTCACTAATTTCCAGTGATGCCTGTTTTTTTTTTTCTGGAGGCTCCTCGACACCATACTTGGTCAAATGTTACCTTGATGTTAAGGGTAGCCATTCTCACCTGACCTCTTGCAGACAGTTCCTTTTGTCCATGTTTGGATTGCAGCTGTAATGATGTTAGAAGCTAAGTGGCCCTGACGACCCAAACTAAACATCCTGGACAAGTTATTCCCTTTTTAAGTACTGCTTATTAGCATTGCTGACGACCCTTTCCATCACTTTATTAATGATCAAGAGTAGACTGATACGTTGGTAATTGTTCTGCTTTTTATACACAAGACATAGCTGGATATTTTTCTACATTGTCAGGTAAATTGCAGTTTTGTGGTGTTCTAAAATAACTTGGCTCGGGATATAATCATTTCTGGAGCACAAATCCTCTCTGCTATTGCTGAAAAGTTGTCTGGCCTCATAGGTCTTTGCAGGGCTTTCATCAATTTCTTGATCTTCATGTGGAATGAATTGATTGACTGAAGGCTAGGACCTCAGGAGGAGCCTGAGGTGGATCCTCCGTTCAACACTTTCTGGCCTCAGGAGGAGCCGGAGGTGGGTTCTCCGTTCAACACTTTCTGGCCAAAGATGGATACACATGCTTCAGCCTTGTCTTTGCTGGGAATATTTATACAACCACCTCCTTTTAATTATTCACCACCATGCAAGGCTGCAGAGCTTAGATCTGCTGTGGTGATTGTGGGATTGCTTAGTCTGTTTCTGTTATTAGCTGCTTAGCTCCATCAAGTTGACACTCGTTTTTGGAACATCTGGTGCTGCTGCTGGCTTGCCATTCTGCATTCTTCACTGAATTAGGCTTGATCTCCTTCCTTGATAGTTGTGGTAGCTTGGGAGATTGCATGGTTGAATACTGTTCTGTGGCTGTTAGACCTGTTAGACCTCTAGCAACTCAAAACTGAGTTTCCATGATCTGCTCAAAATCTGTCCTATTTGCTATGATGGCAGTGTCTCAGTGTATGTTACATAGGAAGACGGGCTTCATCTCTACATTTACAACACAGTGGCCACTGCTTTGATACCATTATGGACAGGTACATTTGTGACCTGTTGGTTAGGACAAGGTCAAACGTTTGAGCAACAAATGAAGCTAGCTGTTTCCAGCAATTTTCCCATTGCAGAATCCCATCTAATGTTGGATGCTGTTGCAAGTGAAGACTGATTATATATGGTGAGAACCTTATTTGTTGTGAATAGATGAAGTGATATGCCGTTTTATATGATCTGCCAGTCTTTGGGACGTACAGCCTTATATCCGGTATCACGCCGGCACTGAAATCCTTATACCATGTTATGCATTGGTGTAATATGCAGAATGTCTTTTTCTCGTAGTCACAGAGTCATAGAGGTCTACAGCATGGAAACAGGCCCTTCGGCCCAACTTGCCCATGTCTCTCAGTTTTCACAATTAAACTAGGTCCATATCCCTCTATACCTATCCCACCTATGGACATGTCTAAATGTTTCTTAAATGATGAAATTGTACTAGCTTTCACCACGACCTCTGGCAGCCCGTTCCAGATGCTCATTCTCTGTGTGACAATTGCCCCTGTGGATCCTTTTGTATCTCTCCCCTCTCAGCTTAAACCTATGACCTCTAGTTTTAGACTCCCCTATCATGAGCAAATTTTGTTGGCTATCTACCTTATATGTGCCTGTTTGTGATTTTATACTTGACAGCAGCATCTTATTAGTGGCAAATAATCACTTGTGTTGCCACTGCATGGTAACAGTGTGAAACAGTTGGCCTGTTGCTTAACCTTATCTGAGGTAGATTGGGCACTTCTTAGGACCAAGAGGACTGCCTTTAGGGCCTTTCATAGTTGAGGATTTAGTGGAAAATCCTGTGTGTATGAAGAATTGAGTGACAACAAATTTTAGGATTGCCTTTTGGGCTTGCAGTGTGATGCAGTTGTGTGAACTGGAAGCTACGTACAGGGTCTGGTTCTTTGCAGGTAGACATAACATTTATGCAAAAACTGTTTCAACTCGACAAAATAGCTAACAGCCATTGTCTGGTCCAGGTATTGTTTTGAGAAATGAATTAACCAGAGCTAATCTGCTTGGGTTAAAATTTAAACAAAGCCAGATGGTTTACTGTCAATCATCATTTAATTGGTGCACTCTACATGGCAATGCTGCTGCTGGTCAATCCACTTGTCAACTGATTAGCACTTTTCTCCTGTACGGTTGGTTTTTACCTTGACTTGGCAAAGTTGTGAAATGTCCTGATGAGTGCAAGATGGAAAGATTTGAAAAATATCGCTCTTCAGCAATACTGGAGTTGTGTATTATCAAATAGCTATTAAACTAATTGTTAAAACTATGTATGTTTCCACTGCTCTGTATCATGAATGTCGTGATGATTTTTAAATATCTGCAGGTATGTAGTAGCTTTTTGAAGTCCATTTCTGGATTGTTTTTCAGTAATTGTTGAGTTGAGACCCACCAAGATATTTATCTCTCACCAGTTCAAATATCTCCCTTTTCAAGAATATAACAATTAGACAAGTATTATGCTCACTTTTGTGTTTGTAGTCAAAGTGCATATTCTGGAAAGTGTTAACTTATTGTTTGGACTTTTTTCTTTTCTTTCTTGCACCACCCTCTTTCTTCAATCCTGCTGCCTCCATCCTGTGAAGACTTAAAAATCAGTTTGATAGCTGCTTAATTGTGAAAACTAAGACCCACCTAATTAACCAATGTCAAGTATCAATTCAGGTGTCAGTACAAAAATATTTTTTTTCAACAATAACACCAGATTAATCACTTTTTATTTAATAACAATTTATTTTTACCTGTATTACTACTGCTGAGTAAAATGTAACCTAAAGTTTTAGCGATATTCTTTGTTCTAACCTTTTACTGATGTATGAAATAGATTTCAAATCCTTGCTTATCAAAATACATTCCAGAGTTTCTTTGGTTAGCTATGTACTCTGATATTACTGTGATTTGTTTTTACAGCTGATTTTGGAGACTATGATCAGTATGAATCCCAAGACTTCCTCTACAAGTGTGATCTTTTTCCAGTTGTAAGTTCTGTTAGCATATTTTGCATAAAATTTTAAATGCTTAACACTTAGGCGTAAATGTTATTTTTAAGCAAACAACTTCTGGGTGTTAGAAATAGGAAGTATTGGTTTTATTGCAGACTCTGTTCCAAAGTGTTTGGCTGTATATGACACCTTTATATAGCACCTTTAACGTAATCAGAAGGCCAAAGGTATTTCACGTGCACATTATGAAACTAAATATAATATCAAATGTTGCAAAATGGGGTAGAGTACTTGCGGATTGGGAGGCAGGAAGTTAAAATTTGGTGTTTGTAAAATGTCAGGTTGGGAAGCATTGTGTAGCCCCTTTAAAAATAATGTGCTTTTTCTGTGCTTAGAGATTTAAAATGGATGTCCGTGTGCAGCAGCTTGAAAGTTTGCAAGTACATAGAGAGCACCTAAATTGAAACATTTTGTATTGAAAGGCCGTACAGTAAACAGGCCAAGCAGGAGGTTCTTTTTACCAAGACAACAAGTTTTTGAATTTAACCAAGCAATTTGAACCAGGCACTTAGATACCAAAAAACCTATTAAATTTAAGTACAATGGTTTTGATAACATAGGACTAATCCTATTGTAAGAAATATTGACATGTTATCAAGGGTAAAAAAAAAGGGGGCAGTTGGACAAAGCCCCAGAGCTAAGAGCCCTCAGCTCTCGAGAATTGCTGGCTGTTGGCCTCCTCTATGTCTTGGAGAAAGTGCCATGTATATAACAATGGTACCAACAGAAGAACTAGTTAATATTCCTGACAGAAGAATTGACGGAGAAGGTGCAGAACATTGCGTAATTTGGCTGTAATGTTGGGGCAGCACAGTGGTTAGCTCTGCTGCCTCATAGCACCAGCGACCCGGGTTCGACACCACTCTCGGGCAACTATCTGTGCGGAGTTTGCACGTTCTCCCAGTGTTTGCGTGGGTTTCCTCCCACAGTCCGAAGATGTGCAGGGTAGGTGAATATTTCGTGCTGAATTGCCCATAGTGTTCAGGGATGTGTAGATTAGGTGGGTTATAGGGGGATGAGTCTGTGTGGATGCTCTGAGGGTCGGTGTGGATTTGTTGGGCTAAAGGAACTGTTTCCACACTATAGGGATTCTATGTTCCTATGAATGTTGAGAGACTTTGCAATATACTTGTATAAGTGGGACATGTATTTATTGGAACAGCAAACCATTAGAATCTTGTGGTTTTCGGGAATAGTTAGTAGTTAGAAGGGATTTATTCTGTTTAATAGTTTAGTCAATTTGTTCACTGTTAGATAAATTGTCACTTGTTGACTTTAAAGCGAGTGTCAGGGATTTATTTTATTTAATCACTAGAAGTTGCTGAAAGGCAATTACACCACTTTTCACACTCCTTTTACAGATTATAGGGCGAGGTGCTTCTCTTTTCTTTTGTGTTTTGGTTTTAGTTCTCAGAGGGGGCAACCTCCACTTTATAACACAAGTCATGAGATGCTAGCTTAGATGACCAAAAGCTTGGTCAAGCAGGTGGGTTTTAAGGAATGCATTAAAGGAGGAAATGAGGTACAGAGTTAGCAATGTGTGGAGTGGGTATTTCAGAGCTCAAGTCCTAGGCAAATGAAAGTGCAGCCACCAATAATGAACAATTAAAATGGGGAGTGCCTAAGAGACCAGGATTAGAGGAGCCAGGTAGAATCATAGAGCCATACAGCATGGAAACACACCCTTTGGTCCAACCAGTCTGTGAAACATAATCCCCAGACTAAAGTAGTCCCAAATGTCTGCTCCTGGCCCATATCCCTCCAAATTTTTCCTTTTCATGTATCCATCCAAATGTCTCTTAAACGTTGTAATTGTACCCCCATCCACCACTTCATCAGGAAGTTTATACCACATGTGAATCACCCTCAGTGTAAAAACTTGCCTCATGTAATTTTTAAATCTCTCCTCAAAAATGTATCCCCTAGTCTTGAAATACCTCAAATTAGGGAAAAGACAACTACCATTAATTCTGTCTATACCTCGCTATTTTATAAACTTCTACCAGGTAACCTCTCAACCTTCTACGCTCCAGTGGAAAAATGTCACAGCCTATCCAGTCTTTCTTCACAACTCAAACCTTCCATACCCAGCAACATCCTGGTAAATCTCTTCTGAACCCTCTCCAATTTGATAATACCTGTCCTATAACTGGGCGATGAGAACTGGACACCATATTCCAGAAGTGGTGTCACCAATATCCTGTACAACTTCAGCATAGCGTCCCAACTCCTATACTCAAAGGACTGAGCAATGAAGGCAAGCATGCCAAACAATTTTTTTAACCACCTCGTTTATATGTGATGCAAACTTTAAAGGATTATATACCTGCACCCATAGGTCCCTCTGTCCTACAACACTACCCAAGGCCCTACCATTAATTGTACAAGCCCTACCCTTGCTGTACCAAAATGCAATACCTCGTATTTACCCAGATTGAACTCTATATGCCATTTTTCAGCCCATTGACCCATTTGATCAAGATCCCTTTATAATGTTAGGAAACCTTCTTCACTGTGTCCTATGCCACTTAGTTTGGTGTCATCCTCATACTGAACATTCCTTCTATATTCTCATCACAGAAGAGGACCCAGAATCGATCCCTGTAGAACACTGCTGGTCACAGGCCTCCAGTCTAAAAAGCAACCCTCCATTGCTCTCTGTCTCCTGCCATTAGATATCGGAGGCTTCTGCAGCTTGAGATTACAGAAATAGAAAGCACATCACCCAATGAGGGATTTGAAAGATGAGAATTTTAAAATTTTATGGCTATGCGTCAAAAGGGAAAACCTTTCCCATCAGAGCTGACGTAAAATACAGTGTGATGTCAGCAACCCATTTGCAATATTATGGAAGGTGAGCAAAAATGTTGAAGTCGGAACTTAGCCGACTGTCTTGGGGTGGGGGGGATAAAAAGAGTAAAATTATTGAGCTTGGTTAAATTTTTCTTCTCCCCCTCCATTTTTTTTAAGTGATTGAATTGGAAAATATTTGATAATGATTTACACCAGGTATGAAGAAGTGGGACCATGGTTGTGCAACACGGCAGCATTTGAGTGTCATTAGACCTTACTTGTTCACACTTTTAGGCTGTTAGGGCAAAGAGAGAAAGCGAGACCGGCCACATGGAGCTCTGAGAGTAGTGGTCGTTATCCTGGCCAAAGAATCTGATTGAACCTTCCTACAAGATGTCAGGACTGGGAGATCATGTTTTGAGAGCGCAGTTGACTAAGCCAGTAGCTGCAGAAATGTGCCAGCTTGAGGGCCAGAGTCTAGACAGTAAGAATTTTCAAAATGCAGTTGTAAGTAAAGGAAAATAAATTTGAGTATTCGAGGCAAAATTATTTTACTGCCTAAAACAGTCCAAAGAACACTTTATATAGCATGTGAAAATTGTATTAGTGAGTAGTGTCATAAGTTCACGTTCGTTTCTTCTGTGATAAAGTGAAGCCAAACATTTATTAAGTATGGTGTCAAATACAGAAGGCTTTTTGTTTAATTTACGTTATTCAACAAGACTGTTTTGTCTTTTTACCTTGCCATTCCCTGACCACACCTCTCTGACCTTGCAAAGAATTGGATTCAAGATGAAAGGATGCTTCAAGAAGCAACACAGAAAGTTGCTTCATTATATCGGAAATTCAGGTGAAGTATATATCCAAATTAATCTTCCCCTCATTGTAAGGTTTTGGGGTGCACTTTAACTTTAATTGCAAGACCTAAGTCAGTTGTAGTTATAATTAATTCCAATTCAGTCTTGTTATGAAATATTTGTAGTAGGTGGGAGTTGAACCTGCATCTTCTAACCCAGAGGCAGAGTCACAAGCACTGTGCCACAAGACTCTCGATCACAATTATAGACCAAGTTTTGAAAGAGCAAACTTAAAATTTTACTTGTCTTAAGTTGCATGATCCATTCCAATTGCAAATATATTTTCTCATCTTTTGTGGAATCTATTAAGTTTATCATAACAAGTACAAAATAAATGGTACTTAATAAAAACAGTTGGATTTCAGTCTCTCTGCTGCAAGTTCATGACGTTAGTTTGACTGGGCACAGATCTATAATGTTCTTTTTGACTACAGTACCTTTATCATCATACTTGCTTCATGTGCGTTGAGCCACGAAAGTCCAGACCTTATTAACCTTTGCTAGTTACTAGCCCCTGTGCATAATCAGAGGCACCCTGAACTCTGATTAGTTTGTTAGTGCATGAACAGTTCATGGTTAACCTTAGATTAATTAAGTAATACCTGTCCAATTCCTGGTTGGTTTCTTTTAAAGTATTGGTCATTTTAGTAATATCATTTCTTACTGTCTCCTCATTCATTTTTTAATATGTCAATTATTTTAAGAGATCTTCCTTTTGGTAACAGCTTGTTCTCCCTTACCAATTCCATAAACCTTTTCGAAGATGAGATTGTTCCAGCAAACTTTAAATATGTCTGCTCAGAGTATGTAGTGTCACTTCCTAAATCATCCCAAATTATACATTTGAGAATTGTGGAAACCCTATCAATATCCTTTAACTACAAAATCCATGTGGAACTCCACAGTAACCGTTGATTTCTAAAACAACCTAAAGCACAAAATAACTATACAGGTCTATACTCATTTTGTTGCCATATTCAACTGTACCTTTGAGTAAACCTGTGGCCACTTCAAAAGCATTTTCACATTTGCCAGCATAAGTTTGCATTAGCTACATAAATCAGTCTCCTTACTTTTGACATTATGCATAGCTTCTTGCTTATAGAAACAGTTTTTCAACTGACAACATTTAAATAGAATATCATTTAATTCTTTACATGCTTAGTCAATTGTTTTGATTATTAAAAAGTAACTCAGTCCCACACCTCCATGGCCCTGCTGAAGGATACCATTGAACAGTGGAATATGTAGTCCGTGTCCCATGCAACAAAAATCCTGATCTCTCAATTGTGGTCACAATCGAATGGTGGATCAGACTCTGGCCGAATGGCCGTGTTCTACTGCTGTATCGGATGGTCTTACGGTGTGTGTGGAATGTATCTAATAGAGATCAAAGATTTCCTTTTGGAAACCGTGAACAATTAGAATGAAGCAGTTACAGTTTATAGTATATTTGTGTGTGTCTCACACTAGCAAATTCAGACAGTATGTCTGATGTGTCAAATCTGGCCATCATCAATAGTTGTTGCGGAACAAAGGAACAGAAGAGCATTTGATGTTTTAACAACATTGTAGTATACACTTTACAATGTAGGAGCTGAAGTAGGCCGTTCAGCCCATGAAGTCTGCTCTGCCATTCAGTGAGATTATGGCTTTAAATACATAATTGTGATACAGAATCAATGATTTGTCAGTAAATTTACTCAACTAAAATGTGTATGCATTGAAGGATTTTGCAGTAAGATTGAATGAAAACAGCAAGGATATAATGAGACCGCTAGCAAAAGAAAAGGTCATACTTTGAAATGGAGAGGTTTTGAAACTTTTTTTTCCAAGCTTGGAAGTGTGAGTAAGATTAACCTATAGATACCTTTTGGCATTTTAATTGTGTCAGAGATAGTAGGAACTGCAGATGCTGGAGAATCCGAGACAACAAGGTGCAGAGCTGGATGAACA